CCCGGGACGTGGTATTAAATTGCAATACCTCATTACCCATCCTTACAAAACATGAAAGAATTTGAGGGAATTCAGATCCGAAGAGAAAAATTATCAGACTCTTGGAAAGACTGATACACAAGGAGAGATTAAATAGTTTAAATATATAGCTTATCTAATCAATAATTAAGCAAGGGAAGGATAATGGTTTAAAAATATGTAAGAGAAGGATAATTATTTTGGATGATGCATGGTCCCGATTCAGCACAGTGCTTAAACACATGCGCATATCCATCAGCCCTGCAAAACATCGATGCGTGTGATTTCAACGGAGCTTAAGCACGTACCTAAATTTAAGCATGCATTGAAGTGCTTTGATTAATGGGGGCCATAACCACAAGTAATGGTATGAAATTAAGAAACGGAAAAAATGTAGGCTGAACAGCAGGAAAACCTTCCAAATGGCGAGATATACGAGTCTGGGGAGTAATCACTCAAGGGAATTGGTGGAAACCTCATCCCTGGACACCTTTCAAGTTTTGCTGGACAAAGTACTGGGAAAAATATCCTTTGGGGGAATAACCTTGCTGTTGCCTCTGAAGACCACAACCGCACGACCTAGCGCAACTTTTCTGCCTCTTAAGTTTTTCTGGGCTGGCTTGAAGCATTAAGCCCGAGACATGATTTTAATGAGCAATGACAGGCTGATGGCCTTCTGAAGCTCTTCCTTGCCTTCCCACAGAATTCACTGGTTTTTTTCTGTCTTCATTATGTATAATGCTATGAGAGAAAAAAAAAAAAAAAACACACCTCACAAACCCACAGCACTTTAAGCCTCTTGGTACTTCATCTTTTTTTCCACTCATTGGCTAAAGATTGATTTGGTTCTCACCTCTGCATTAAAACAGAGCTTAAAGTTATATAGCAAATTTAATTTCAACTTGGAGGGCTTCCTTTCGTTTCCAGAGCTTTCTTTTTTTTTTTTTTTTTTCTCTTTTCTCCATGTTGCCCCTGAAAGAAGGGCTGTTGCAGAAAAGGACTTTCCCAAGTGGTAGATTCTCCAAGGGCTTTTTCCACTGGAGAGAACGATTTTGGTGAGCCAAATGCAAGGCCCGAAACACAATGGCTTTTTAATTGCTTCAATACCTACTTTTTTCTTGAAGTAAACATTTGTTGAAGGGTATGCATTGGTCACTCAGATTTTGTGGGTATTTTGCAGCCTTGTGGGAAAGGCCAGGTATTCTCTAAATGCCTTTGCAGAGGTCTACTGGAAACAGAAGTGGTTGAGATAGATCTGTTGTAACTTTTAGATTTCCCACCCCCCGTCCCTGAGTTTCACCGCAGTCGACATTCTCCCTTTATTTTTGCAGTATCAGCGAGATGGGACGTGACTTTATTATTAGGAAAACAGAGTTTATGTTTATTGGTCTTTATTTTCCGCAGCACATCAACGTACCCAGAATAGCAGTTCTTACCCGAAAATACACATTTCTACGCCCGACTAGCGATGCAGCTAGGAACAGGTGAGCCTCTGTGAGCATCTGCCTGACTCACAGCCCCACTTAAGAAACAAGATGAATTAATTCCTTTATCCTACTGAAAATGACAATCTTGCAAGGTCTCCGTCATCGGAGATCCTTAAGAGCTTGTTGAAGAGGCAGCTGGGCAGGATGATAACTGGAGTGGGTCTGCCACTGGGGGGACAGGGTGGCCTCATTTGGGACCTGCCAGCTCTCTTGGCTACAGTTTTTTTATGGACAAAGCCATGAGTGCAGCAGTGTCTCCCCAATAGGTCTGGTGGTCTGGTCATGGAATCACGGAATTGTCAGAGTTGGAAGGGACCTCTAGAGATCATCCAGTCCAACTCCCCTGCCAAAGCAGGGTTGCCCAGAGCACATCACTCAGGAGCATCCAGGTGGATCTTGAAGATCTCCAGAGAAGGGGACTCCACACCCTCCCTGGGCAGCCTCTGCCAGGGCTCTGCCACCCTCACCCCAAAGAAGTTCTTCCTCACATTGGAGTGGAACTTCCCATGGTCCAGCTTGTGCCCGTTGCCCCTCGTCCTGTCACTGGGAACCACTGAAAAGAGTCCGGCTCCATCCTCCTTCAACCCACCCTTTAGAGACTTGTCAGCATTAACAAGGTCTCCCCTCAGTATTCTCTTCTCCAGGCTAAAGAGTCCCAGCTCTCTCAGTCTTTCTTCATAAGGGAGATGCTCCAATCCTTGAATCATCTTTGTTGCCCTTCGCTGGACTCTCTCCAGCAGTTCCCTGTCCCTCTTGAACTGGGGAGCCCAGAACTGGAGGCAGGATTCCAGTTGTGGCCTCCCCAGTGCAGAGTAGAGGGGGAGAATGACCTCCCTCCACCTCCTGGCCACACTCTTCCCTACACAGCCCAGGATCCCATTGGCCTCTTGGCCACAAGGGCACATTGCTGGCTCATGGAGAGTTTACTGTCCACCAGGACCCCCAGATCCTTCTCCGCAGAAGTGCTTTCCAGCAGGTCCACTCCCAAGCTATGTTGGTGCCTGGGGTTCTATCACTGGGAAAAAGTGCGGCACCTTACTTTGCTTTTTGGTTGTTTTTTTTTTATTTTGTAAAAAGAGTTTGATTGGGTTGGGGACCTTGTCTCCAAAACTAAAAGAAAATGGACCAACGTTGCCTGGGAGGAAAGCGTTGGTGACGTTCTATTCTCCGCAGAAGTGCTTTCCAGCAGGTCCACTCCCAAGCTATGTTGGTGCCTGGGGTTCTATCACTGGGAAAAAGTGCGGCATCTTACTGGGGTTCTATCACTGGGAAAAAGTGCGGCATCTTACTTTGCTTTTTGGTGGGTTTTTTTTTTTTTATTTTGTAAAAAGAGTTTGATTGGGTTGGGGACCTTGTCTCCAAAACTAAAAGAAAATGGACCAACGTTGCCTGGGAGGAAAGCGTTGGTGACGTTCTAGCCCCGCCCCGTTGCTTTTTTTTTTTTTTTGCTGCTTCCCCCATTGCTCTATGTCTATTTAAAACAGAGGCTTCTCTGCAAACAAGCTCTCATGCTTTCAGGTGGCATTTCCCTTTTCTCATTGTTTCTGGCAATCTGTGCATGTGAAACTTTGCAAATGTTTCTTCGGTCTCGGTGTCTTTGTGTGGGTAAAACCTCGCAAATCGGCCCTCGCACCACGTATGGCCTCCTACTGCCGTGGTGGAGTTAATGGTGGTGGCTCTGCAGGCATAGAATCATAGAACTGCCCAGGTTGGAAGGGACCTTTAAGATCATCAAGTCCAACCATCAACCTAACACTGATAAAAATCCATCACTAAACCATATTTCTAAGCACTATGTCAACCCATCTTTTCAATACCTCCAGGGATGGTGCCTCAACCACTGCCCTGGGCAGCCCCTTCCAAGGCTTAACAACCCTTTCAGTTGGTTCAGACCCAGGCTGGGCAACATCCCCTTGTCCCTGTTATCTGAGAGGGCTTCTGCTTGAGGCTCACCTTCCTGGATCAATTAGCTGCATGGCAATCAAAGCCAAAACCTGCTTCCAGAGGTTCCTCGAGGTGTTGGAGAGCAGAGGTGTTAGAGCAGTGGCGCAGGCCGTGTGCTCTGCCCTGGCTCCCCCCGCCGCTCCAGAGACCAGGCCATTCCCCTGTGCCCCCTCCCGGGGGTCACGCTCCCCCCTGTCCCCCCGGGGCCGCCCTCCACCTCATCCCTGGGCCGGGCCGTGGGGAGAAGGCCTGTGACTGGGTGCTTGGGACCACAGGCCAAGCAGCCAATCGGGAGGTGGGGAATCCAGTGGGGGGAATGGCAGGGGGTCTGTGCTGGAAAGCCAGGCTGTGATTGGCTGTCTGGGAGGGGAGCCATGGGCAGAGCAGCCAATGGGCAGGTGGGGGAAAGCAGCAGATGGAGGTTCTGTGGGGGAAAGGCGGGCTACG